AAAAAAAAAATCTTGACCGGGCAAGGCAGGCTACCCAGGCTCTCTCCGAGCACACAGACTGGGATGGAATTGCTGCCAGCCTAGAAGGTGGGTGGGAGTGAGGGATGGCCGCACCTCCGTTCACCAAGAGGGTGTGAGATATAAGAGTAACAAGGGAAATGTCACACCTTGCCAGTAGTCTGCGTGTCCGGAATGTTCTTGCGTTTCCCAGCAAGTGGAGCCTGTTCTTAAGTCCCTGGAATCTGGGAGAATGCTGTCACTTTAAATATCCAAAATGGTCAAGCTGCTTGTAAACATTCAACATGGCTGCACCCTCCAGACAGGCAAAAGTCCACAACTCAGCCCACCTTCCTCTTCGTTACTTCCCCTTTTATTCCCCAGCCACTAGAGCCGTCCTCTGTGAAGTCCCTGGCTAGCAGGTTCAATTTTTAGGTTAATTCTTAGGTGCTACCACCACTCGGCAATATCCAAGCTGTCTGTGCCATCAGGATCGCTGCCAGACCACAGCTCCATATGTCTCCTTCTTTGGTATTTTCATGCAAATTCTTCTGCTTGTTGGAGTTTAGTCTACTTCTATATCCTTCCCTTCAAAGCTCAGGGCTCCAGGATTATCTTCTGTATCTGTGTTAATTGGTTCCCCTTTTCCTTGTTGAAGAGGGTCTGTGCAGTCTTTCTGCCTACTCCTTACCAGAACAACTGCTCTTTAACACTTTAAAGAGATCTTTTGCAGATTTTCCCAGTGTGATATGCCATTTGATTTCTTGACTGCTTCTTCCATGGACGTTGATTGTGGATCCAAGTAAAATGAAATCCTTGACAACTTCAATCATTTCTCCATTTATTGTGATGTTACTTATTGGTCCAGTTATTAGGATTTTAGTTTTCTTTATGTCGAGGTGTAATCCAACCAAGTCATTAGAAAGCAAAATTTCAGAAACAGTCCATCGTCATGGATGAATATGGACCCCAAAGCTGATTAAACAGAATTATTGAGAACTTGGACACAGATCACTCTAACTGGTCTTGAGTGAAGCCATGGTGTGCAGAGACGGGAGGGAACACGAAGCTATCTATTTGGTGGGGGCAAGGCCAGTAATGAATAACGTTATAAGATAGAACATTTGGCTTTTGTGTCCTAGACTCCACTCACCCATTCTGCTGCCCTCTGGCTGCTCATCTCCCAAAATGCCAGGCCTACTTTTGTTTCTTTTTTGTCAGCATTCCAGTTGCCAGACTATTCCTGCTCTCAAAATTTGCCAGGCTCTGGCCTTCTGCAAGGTGATAACCAGCTAACCTATGAAATAGACTCTTGTTGATATCTTCATGAACACTTACTTATTAGGAACGTCTTCTAGTATTTTTGTGCAGGTTACTAGGGGGTTCTGAAACAATGACCTAACTCAGTGGATGACTCCCACCTCGAGACATCCAGACTCCAAGTGCCTATGATTTCCTCCAAGTTACACCACTAAGTGCTGGCTCACTCTACAAACCCCAACCTTGTATATGGCAAGCACCAAACAAATGAAGAAATTTACATTTCCCTTAGTTTTTTTTTTTTCCTTACCGTCCTTCACAGATGGGATGCTAGAGAACATAATGAAGGAATATAAATATATAAGGTAGAGGGCCTCCTGGTGAATTACATGTGATAGACTTAACTAAGGAGCTCTGGTGGCATAGTGCCTAAGGCATTTGACTGCTAACAAGAAGGCTGGCTGTTCAAATGCACCAGCCACTCCTCAGAAGGAAGATGGGGCTAGTCAAGAACAGGAGAGCCCTTTTCTCCCAGAAACATTAGCATCACCAGTCTTAACACACACACACACACACACTAGCACATACCTCTTTAAAGGTCCCTGGAGTGGTGATCAGCCGATAAGTTATATATGTAGGGATGCAGATGAAAGACGAGGTTCCTATGCAGTAACCCAATATGACACTCCATTGGGGGTAATTATATTGAAAAAGCCGTAGCTGTGGGGGGCTCATCAAAAAACTGCAAATGATGAACTGAAACAGAAATTCCAAGAAACGTTTAAAATCTTAGGTAAGTGCATACATATAGAGACAACTGTGATTCCAAGAATACCAAATACTAGAGCTAAGATGCTTCCAAGAAATTTCCAAAATGTGACAAATCCTAGATTATAGTCAAACACACAAAACTCACCAATTTCTGTACCTAAGCTACAACAGGAAAACAGGTGCATATCTTAACTTCCTCCCTGCTCCCATCTCAAATCCTGCAAGGCAGATGCCAAGGCCTTGGAATGTTACTTAGGGAAGTTATAGCACCCCCTTCATTGAAGTCCTCTGAAAAGGAGAAGAGATTGGCACCCATTGGGAGCAGTTTGGGCACCATATTGCCAGACAGTGGAGGACCTGCCAGTCCTGTTGTTGTTAGTTCCCCTCGAGTTGATTCCAACTCATGGGGGACCCCATGTGTGCAGAGTAGAACTGCTCCATAGGGTTGGGTTTTCAAGGCTGTGACCTTTTGGAAGCAGATTGCCAGGCCTGTCCTCAGAAGGTGAGTCTGCACCACCAACTTTTCAGCTGGTAGGAGAGTGCTTAACTGTTTGCACCACCCAAAGAACCTCCTGCCAGTCCCAGCAGAGTATATATCTCTCTGCTTTGTTTTCATTTCCTCCTGCGTTTCTCAGCTGTGAATGTTTTGGGTCAGCTGGAAGGCACCTTCTGTCCAGGAGTGAGAAGATTCTCAAGACCTAGAAAGGCCTAAGAATCCTACATATGTATGTGCTCCTTCTCTTTTCTTGAGCTCTCTGCATTCAGCTGCCTAGGCTGGTGATTCCACAAGGATAGCTCTACCCCCAGACATCTCAGTAGTGAATGACTATGTGCCACAGGTCCTCATAATGAAATAATTTATGGAGGGAAAAACACTTTTTACTTGAAAATCCAGTGAAAACTTTGACCAAGAAAAACTCCAATGTGTGCCCAATACCCATTTTGTGAGTTTTAATTTTAGTTTGGTTTCCAGAGGGCATGTATCCACCAGTTTTTGCCTAGTAACCACTGTGCCGAAATCGTTATAGCTCTTGATTTAATTTAATTTTATTATTTCATAGTCATAAAGAAGACAGTAATGTAAATTATTTGTGTGGTTAAATATCTATTTATATCTTTTTTCTTTGTCTGCAGGTAATAAAGTGGGAAATTGTTAAACACACATCCATCTTCTGAGCAGTGTTATCCTAAGTCCAGGAGGAAGCTTTCAAAACAGGAGTCAGGCCAATTGCAACCCTCTCTCCCAATTTACTCTCCTCACCACCAGGCTCAGCTACAAAGGAGGCTAATTTTGGAGCAGGGACACAGAAGGTTTGGTTAGGAGCCATCCCTGCTGTAACTTGTCTTATCTTGACGTCAGGTGTGTGTAATCCAGCACAGCTCACAGAGGCCTCAAGCTCTTGGCTTGGCCAGTAACTGTTGCTTTGGAAACTCCCTCGCTTGTCCCAGCCTTTCTTCGCTCGTATACAATATTTTATTTTTTTTGTAATTTAGCTTCAGTGAAAAAGAATATTTTTAGTAAGCTACTAGCTATTGATGTAAAGCAGCCTTAAAAAGCCAGAGCAGAGGATCTGTCAAGTAAACCCAGGAGTGGAAGACAGATTTGCCTCTTCTTAATCAGGCACTTGAGCTCTTGCCTTGAGAGTTGGTGAGTAAAGGGAACATCACAGGAATTATGAGTAATGTGCCTGAGTGAAAATTTGTACATAGGTTTTGTTGGACAAACAAACCCATTGACTGGGCATCAAGAGTTTACCCAGTCTGAAAATCATTTGGAGGAAAAAAAAAAAAGAAGGTGGGGACCAGGTTTGCTGGTCCAATAGAGCCTGGTGGAACCACTGAGACTATGGCCCCTAGCTGCCCTTCAGGTCTGGAATTGAACCCACACCTGTGGTTTTCAGCCAAACAAAATACAGGCATATGAGTTAGACATTTATCTCAAGTAGATACACTCCTTGGAGAGAACAATCATGGGAGAAAGAAGGGCTGCTTATGCACAGGGAGACAGCTCAGGGGACAGGAGTGTATGGAGGGTTGGACACTGGGAAGTGGTAACTATGGGGAGGAAGTGGGAGGGAAGCTGTTGCATTGTGGTAAACTGTGATCAATGACATAAGACAAAGTATATGTGAACTGCTGTATGGAAAGTGAATTTGCTCTGTAAATCTTCACCCAAATCACAATTAAAAAAAAAAAAAAAAAAAAAAAAAAGAGTTTACCCAGTCCACCAGACCCTGAGGTTCACAGAAATGAAAATACCAAAAGTCTCAGGCCCAGGACTAGGGTGAGACACGTGAGGCCCTCACCGCTAATGCAAACTTTAAGTCGGCGCCACTAATCAAGGTAAATTATATTTTAATGCAATATTCTAAAAAGACAGATCTGACAGGGCTGGATTAGGGTGAAGTGAGTGAGGCAAGCTGTGCAAGTATATGGTCAGATCCTGTGTTACTTAAAATTTTGATATTTTGTTCATCATGGATTTTTTATGCATTAATTTTGATTTTTTTTTTTAATATTGCATGAAATATTATTTATCTTGCTTACTCAGTTTTCTAGTGCCACCTTAAATTTTACATGTGAGGTAAGTGCCTCAGTTCCCTCACTCAAGTCTGGGCTCTGGACATCATTTCCTCACACTGTGGGGAACCCAAAGTCAACAACAAAAAACATGGTTTCTGCCTTCAAGGAATTAATCCAATGCCTCTTCTTCCTTTGAAAAACAAACGACAAGATTTAAGTATTGAGAAGCAATGGTAAGAATAGAAATTGTTCTGACCTTTTATGTAAGGACTTCCACTGGGAATGGTGGGGTAGGTTATTCAGACCTATTCTCTCACAGCTAACAATTCTCAATTTAAAAATATTTTTAAAAATTTACTAAAACATCAATGAGCTGAAAAGGTAATAAATAGGGAACCTCCAGGCCAGGATGAATGAGAAAGACTGAAGAAGAGGTGATGCCTTTGAACTGTGGTGCTGGTGAAGAACACTGAGAATACCATGGCCTGCCAGAAGAACAAATAGATCTATCCTGGAAGAAGTGCAGCTGGAATGCTCCTTGGAAAGGAGAATGGCCAGACTTTGTGTCACACGCTTTGGTCATGTTGTCCAGGCCCTGAAGAAGGCTATCATGCTTGGTGAAAGTGGAGGGTCAGCGAAAAAGGGAAGCCCCTCAATGAAATGGACTGACACAGTGGCTGCAACGATGGGCTCAAGCCCAGCATGGATTGTGAGGGTGGTGCAGGACCGGGCAGTGTTTTGTTCTGTTGGACTATGGTCGCTATGAGTCGGAATGGACAGCAGCTAGTAAGGGAGAGCTGGTGCCCAGACCACATGTGGGAATACTTGGGGCTTGGGGCAAATGTGGGATTTGGTCCTGGCAACCTCTGGGGTCCAGAGGAATGGAAGTCAGATAGGGGTCTGGAGTGGAGAGAGATGTACACAGTCAGACAAGCAAGAAGAGCACACTATCTATAAATGAACATTGAGATGTGTGGATACCACAGAAAACCAAGGGGTGCCCAAGAACATCAAACACCGAATGAAAAAAGGGCCATTTTGAAAGAGGGGGAAAGACAAGTATATGTGAAAGGCTGAGATATTCTAAGACAAAATGGGATGACCCAGCTCCAAATAAGCTGGAAATTGATTGAAGGAACAATCCAACAACCTCTCTGACTAAAAGATCAAACCAACCAGTCGCCATTGATCGACTCTGACTCATAGTGATGCCATGTGTGTCAGATTAGAACTGCACCACAGGGTTTTCAATGGCTGGTTTTTCAGAAGTAGATCTCGAGGCCTTTCTTCCAAGGTGCCTTGAGGTGGACTGAACTGCCAACCTTTCAGTTAGCAGCCAAGCCATGAACTGTTTGCACTGGGGACTCCAAAAGATCAAAGGGCCCCCAACGTGAAGTTACAGGTAAAGGACAGACCTGAAGCATAGTCCCTGCAGAAGTACACAGAGGCAGTTTGCCTCAGGTTGCCTCAGACAACATTGGAGATGTTAGCAGAGCGCTTATCCATCTTTGGGCAAGTGTCTTGCTTCTGATGACACCAGGAGGGACACGGAGGCATGTTCAGAAGGAGGAAGTGAATACTGAGCACTCCTGGGTATGGGAAGCCCTTGAACTGAACTCTCCCACCCAGGTCCTTTGGTAATAAACGGATTCTACTTTGAATTCATATCTACACTTGAGGACTTTTGTGAGGGGACCTCTTCAAGAAAAATAATACAAAATTATCAGTACTAAATTGCTGGCACCCCTCCCAGGGCCTTGATGAGCACGCCTGGTCTTGAACAGCTCTCACTTAGGATTTGCATACTATTCCATGTATGTGCAGTATGATGGGTCCCTTATACATGGCCTTTCTTGCCATGGTCTTGTAACTCCCACCAAATGATTGGGTGGGTCTGTATAAATAAGGTGCTTATGGCCCACCAATGGGATTAAGCTGTTTTCTAATAATGCAAATAAGGTGCATGGCACCCTTGTGGGGGTGGGACTATGTAATAAGGTATATGAAACCCTGCTGAGGGGATTGGTCAGTTCTGGCATCTTGCTAGACTTAAAATGAACCATGTCAGAGGTGGGAGAGGGGACCTCACTATCATCAAGAAAGAAGAGCCATGAGCAGAGTGTGTCCTTTGGACCTGGGATCCCTGCACTAGGAACCTCTTAGACCCAGGAGACAGAGAAAGCTGTAACACTATTATAGGAAAATGGTGAGAAACTGGTTGAGAAATGGCAGCAGCAGAACCAGAAGACAGGCACATGCCGGCACAGTAGGCTTCCCGGCCCACGGAGCAAGGTGGCTATGGCAGGCAAACCAACCCACAGAGCAAGAGAGCTGAGCACCTTTGGGCAAGGGCTCCCTAGCAGAGTTGGGTGCCTCTGAGTACTTGTTGACAGAGCTAGGCTTGCTGACCCACGGAGTAAGAGAAATGAATGACTTTGGGCTGAGGCTTCCTGGAGGAGGGGGGTGCCTCTGGGCACTTATTGGTGGGGCTAAAGAGCTTTGTAACACTTGCCCCAGCAGGGCAAAGGCTGTGCTGGTCCAAGAGGCCGAGGAGCCGAAAGGCCAAGGGCCAAGGAGAGGCCTACCTCTGAGCATAGCTAAGAAGCTGTCCTGACTGAAGAACTATCCTGAGTTATTCCTGATCCTGAATTATAATGTTACTTCCCTAATAAACCCCATAATTGTGAGTATGATCTATGAGTTTTGTGTGGCCACTGCATCAAATTATCAAACCAAGCAGAGGAGTAGAGTGCCCTGGGAGGGATGGTTGGTGTTGCAATTGGTAGAAGTTTAGACAGAGGAGGTCAGATGCCCTCATGCTGCCATTTTTTACAATATGTTACACTTAAATAAAATTTGTTTAAGTGTTTGATGGTGAACCTTTTCCCAGGGTGAGAAGGAGAAGGGAAATGACAACTTACCAGGAGAAATAGAGGGCTGATGGCTACCCAGCAGATCCTCCAAAACCATCCAGGGCTGAAGCCAAGCATTTCCTTCACGTCACTGCAGAACTGAGTGATGCCTGAATCACCCGAGAGAGAAAGAGACTGACTGAGAGAGGGCATGGACTAACCCTCCACCCTTGATCCTCAGGGGCAGTCAAGGCCACCAGGATCAGAACTGGGAATGCAAGGGAGAAAGGGAGTTGGAATTCCTGCCCTGGTCAAAGGTAGCAGCTTAGAATTTCTCCATAGGAGGGGCCGGAAAGTGGGACTAGTGGACTTGTCACAAAATAGCAGTTTAATAACAAGCAAAGCTCTTTCTACATAAAGTGGAAAGACTGAGCTAAAGTCTCCTCCCACACTGCCTAAGATCTCAGTATATATTTATATATTTTATATATAGAAATATGTATATAACAGTTACATATACATATTTAGTTTTATTGTTAGTATAGAAAAGAAAGTTGAAATTTGTCAACAAGTGTCCAATAAAGACCGACTTTGACCATACACTGGAAACTTTCAAAGGGACATGTTACCCACAGTATTGCCCATTCATATGCCAGCTCAAGATCAAGGTTCTTCTATAAAAAGTAACTGGCACAGAAGTGAGAGCTGAGGACTCCAAATGGGGAGAAACTGAGAAGGGAAAAGTGCCCTGTGGTTGCTTCCCGAAGAGTTCCCAGCAGTTCCCCGGGAGGCCTGAAAGTTTTATAGCGTTCACACGCTTTGAACTTTGTCCTGGGAATTGCTGAAGAAACAGGGAGGATTTCTTCTTTAAAAAATGAAACAAAATAAACCAATAATAATAATAATAATAATTAAAAGCAGACTATAACCACAATGTGGGCCCATGTGCAACTCACAATGCAGGTCCACCCTCAGATTATATATAATGACTGCCCTGCAAAAGTTGCTTTAGTATAGAAGCTAGGAAAACAAATACATTTTTAGAATGAAATTAACACATTTGATTTAGTTTAACTTGTTGACTTTAAAGATGAAATAAGGGCTCTCTGGGCTTAGTTTTCTTCAGTTGCCTGTGTCCTCTCCATCTCTGCCCAGGGGGTCTGGGATCCCTACCCACGGACCCATGTCAGGGGCACTCTCTGCACCCCTGGTGTTTCTACCCTATCAGAATCTATCCCAGAATCTCCCTTGTCCTCAAATCGATTCCAACTCTTAGCGACCCAAAGGACAGAGTACAACTGCCCCATAGGGTTTCCAAGGTTGTAATCTTTACCAAAGCAAACTGCCTCATCTTTCTCCTGTGGAGTAGCTGGTGGGTTCACACTGCCCACCTTTCAGTAAGCAGCTGAGTGATTAACAAACTGTGCCCCAGGGTTCTTTATCCCAGAATTGGAGGGAGTGAATTTGGGATTGCACCAGGCCAGATAACACGAAAAGGACCATTCTTGCCTCTTCTCTAGAATGTAAGCCCCTGAGCTCTTTCTCAGGGCTCTGGAGGGAGCCGTTGTTTACAAAATTAAATCTGGGGCCCACTTATATAACAGTATATCGTACATTCTGAAAATGCATTCACTGTGTACCGGTTCTTTGTTCACCATCCAATTCTTAGAACTAATCATCATCTTCACCACTCACCCTGGTTGAGCTATAGGGAACCGCTTCAACCTGTCTCCACTGGGTGAACATCTAAACTCAGGAGCGAAAAAATGTTCACTCAAAGGAGATTTGTTGTACAGAGTATGGAGGAAATTATCTAATTCTGAAGAAAGCAATCAGCGGAGATTATTTTACAGACCCATCAGAAGGTCACAGCTTGTAAACTGTGTCTGCCTTTCTTTGATGAGATCAGTTCCTCTCCTTTCTGCTGGCGTAGCAAAGATGGTGGCTGGCTAAGGAAGCAGCTTACCATAGAACCAAGACACTGCAACGGCTTCGATAAGCACGACGGTGAGGACCGCAGGCCCTGTGGCATATTCCTCCAGCAGCTTAACCACGTAGGCCCCTCCCTGGAAATGAGATCATGAACCGGGTTAAGGGCCCTTGAGGCAGTGCTACGGCCCTACTATAGGCACCTGCAGAAGTTGCTTCACTAGTTAACATTAGTTGATTCTGACTCATGGTGACCCCTGTGTGTCAGAGTACAGCTGTGCTCCACACGGTTTTCAATGGCTGACTCTTCAGAAGTAGATCCCCAGGCTGTTCTTCTGAAGTGCCTCTAGGTGGACTTGAACCTGAACTTTTCAGTTAGCAGCCACAAGCATTAACTGTTTACCCCACCCAGGGACTACAGAAGCTTCTTAGGATAATTCTGAAAAGTTCCCACCCTTTGCAGTGTGGGCCAGATTTTATCTAACCCCATAGGGCACTCTCTTCTTACTTGTTTTCTCTCCCCACCAAATTTTAAGTGTCCAACTCCAAATGGCCTCTGGATCTGTTTTCAACTTTCTTCCATCTATTGCATATGTAGGGTACTGTACTCCGCAGAATCCTGGTCTCTAAAGAGTGAAACTTCCAGGAAGCATCCATAATGTCAGACACAATGAGCATACTGGTCACAGTCTCACCTTCTGTCCTGACTCATGACTCCGTCATGTCCTATTCAGAGCCCTACCACCCTGAGAAGTTCCACAGC